GTATAGAAAGAACAGAGGAAGAAGAATAAAAAGACCAAAAATAATTTGCAGTTAAAAGTTGCCCTCTGTGTTTGGTTCAAGGATAAAACCAGAATCAGATCAGGAATCAGTCACTGAAGACAGCATCCTGCAACAGCCTTTTGTCACTGACAGGATCTCTGTCTGATCATTTCCTACAACTGAATGGGAGTTTGTGTAGCCTCCTGATTACCACTAATTGGGTCCCACCTTCTGTGACCTACTCTTTGATACCGGGGTCTCTATGAATCAAGGTTTTGTGTTTGTGTTCCTGGGATGGATTTGGTCCTTTCCAGCTAACCACGCCTTGCCTGTGGTCTCAGAGGGGCCTTCAAATGAGAGTGATGAAGGAGATCAGGAAAAACAAAGAGAGAAAACAAGGAGAGAACCGCCTGACAAATGAGAATGGCCACTGATTTCAGAGAAGAGAAATGGGGCGAAGGGCCACTTCAAAACAAAGAATTAAAGATTGTACAATTCTTTTGGTCAACATAGGAAAAAGAATTACAGAAAGATTAATGCAACATCTTAAATTAATTTTGTCTTTTTTCCTCTTCCTAATAATATTATCATGGTTGTGTCTTTCACTACTTTGGGACCTTGGTATCTTTTGTATTCCTTTTAGAGGAAATGCCAAACTTCCCGTTATTCACTTATTCAGCAAATATTTTCTGAACATATATCTACTTTATGCCAGAAATATACTAGGCACTGAGGCTGCATCGGTGATCTAAAAGGTCCTCAAGGTGCCTTGTGGAGCCTACACTTTAGTAAGGAAGGCCATGGATAATCCAGTAAAGAGATACATAAGGTATTATCAGGTTGGATTACATTGTGTGATAAAAAAGGTCAGTGGTGGTCTTTCAGGTGGGGTTAAGGAAAGAACTCCCACAGGATGTGGCATCTATCAGAGATACACTTAACCACATCTGCCTGATCATACTATTAGGAATCATATAAACTTGGATGGAAATTCTGTAATTAATTCCAGAATGTCTTGCACCAAGAATCAAGAACAACAAATTTACACAGGATCGTGACATTTTCCTTATGCAACTAATAATATATATCTATGTTTGTATGTTTATACATATGTATGGGTATATGTGTGGGTCTGTCCTTATCTCCTTATCTTCCCATCTACCTTCATGTACTACTACTACTACTACTACTACTACCACCACCATTTCTATTACTATTACTACTACAGGTCTCTGATTTCTTATTTAAGACTCAAAATACAAAATTATAATAACTTTGTGACAGAGGTAATCACACTTATAGAAGTGAGCATTTCATAGTGTATATATATAAACATTGAATCACTGTGTTGTACACCTGGAACTAATATGTCAGCTCTATACTTCAATAAAAAGGTTTTTTTTAAAGCTCTGAAAACCAATTTTTTCATAATACATATGGAGGCAAAACTTAACTCACCTAAACTTTGGTGTCCAAACCTGACCTGAACCAGCCAACAAAAGGCCTACATAGTGGCCTCTATTTCCCACTTAATGAGAATGTTCTTATGCTTTACTGCAAAATATTAATGTCTTTATTACATATTTGATGACAGATCCACTTATCTTCTTACCTTTCTAAAGTTTGAAATTTTCTGAATTCCTCGATGTGTCTGGCCCCGAGTTTTGAATAAAGGATTTTGGCTCTGCACAACTACCACAAGCTACAACAATTCCTACTGTTGCTACTTGTATTACAAAGCTTTGCCGTTGAGTAGCTCTATATTTGTTATTCCCAATCGTTCTAATATCTCATTAGCCTAAAGATGCATAACTGAAGAGAAAACTTTGCACCTGATCCGTGTATTGTTTAATGAATAAATTTCATTTATTAAACAGTTTTTTCTGATCATTTTAAAAAGCAAATTGTAGAAAATTTAAATCAACACAATATGAACAGCCGCAGCAATATCCAAAGCCTGTGGCCATCACCCTGGAGAGCAGCACTTTCTATGTCTACTTATTCCTACTACTGAAGTTTTCATTCATATGCAACATCCATGTCTGGTGCATTTTGTTTGATGAAAACAAGTTAATTAGTGCTGAACCTTCTCTACTTCATAAATTTATTCCTAAGAACATTAAAAGGAAGTCAAGTGAGACATGTTCAGTAACAGATGTTTGTCTTTTTTGGCTGTCTTTTTACAGTTTGTTCCCTTTCATTACTTTTTAAGAAATTTAGTGAATGTTCCCTTTCCTAGAGAACAAGTGTACCTAGCTTCCCAGGAGGTTGGGGAGGGGGTTTCCCTAGGGCAGGCACAGGCTGTTCGCTCCCTTAATCTATTATCTGCTCAAATGCTCTCTACATTCAATGTTTCATTCTTTCATCCAGCTTAGCTCAAAAAAGAATGCATATATTGACTGGCAGTTGTGGACCTAGAACTATTATGGGCACTAATGTAACCCTAATGGGCACTAACTAATGTAGATGGGCCTTGTGCCCCTCATGTATCTTTCCCATAGCTCACAATAAAGGGTCGATATGACTGAGAGAATTTGGTTGAATGTTTTTTTCTTCCAGGAAAGAAAGAGAGTGAAGTGGCTTCCAAAAGTAAAAAGCCATGAGGGAAGGGAGTGGGGAGAGGGTTCACATAGAGGAAGAGGGAGAAATTTGTGAGAATATTTGATATCTTGATCTAGGCAATGGTTACATCAGTGTATACATGTATCAAAATTCTTCAAGTTGTACACTAAAAAAAGAAAAAGTAAAAACCCAATGGTCTTTTATAATAAAAGAAATGAGAGGTATAGACTAAGTTTTTTTCCAAAAAATTACATTGATCCAAATTTACAATCATCCTTTTTATTTACCTAACCTTCTACTTTTGAATATTATTTAATGTGGGTGGAATTGTGGTGTAGTTTAATTGGTAGTCCATTGGTAAATCTAAGTAACATTACAATCCAAATCTTGCATTTGCCAAGAGTGTTGTCTTTTAAAACTTTGTAAGAATAGCTGAATATGTCTTGACCAATTTATTGACTATACATATTAACCAATGTATTGCTAAAGGAATTTTGCATGGAATACCTCTTCCCCAGTAAGCATCTTAACTAGGAGAACAGTGAGAATTTTTATCTAGAAGGAAAAATTCAATAAAATAAAATAAATGATAGTTATAAAAATACACTTCAGGCCCAGATACTAATGCTGCCAAGGCAACATAACTATTGAGATATGGGTTTTAACTGCAATAATGCACATTAAAATATATATATATAACATATTTTTTATATATAAGCAAATATGTCTCTTTATCATAAAGATTCAAGTTTTAATATTTCATAGGAAAAGAAATATGTTATTTCAAAATTAAAATGTGAAGGTTAAAAATAATGTACATTAGGCATCATTACTCTTTGTACCATAACCAAAACAAATGAATTTAAAAAATAGATAAGAGTAAATTGCTGGAATGATGTTCAAATTGTCAAAAAATATCATAGTCATTTAGCTCTTAACTCAGGACCTAAATTAATCCCAAGCCTACTACAGAATTTTCAAAAAGTAATCTAATTCCTACCCAAAATGACAAAAGTAAAATTTAAGAAATCATTTCAATAAAAAATAACTTTAAAGTTAGTCATTGTGATGATTTTTTCTAATTCTTAGAAATATCAGAAAATCCATTCAGATGACTTATTTCTATCAAATGCAGCCCACCAGGGGAGAAAATCATGCATATGAAAATAATTACAATACCTTCTCAAATGTTTTAGGGGAGGGAAGGAAAAGAGCAGAGAAAAGAAACTGTGATGTGGGAGAAAAAAAATGAGCAAAGATGTTTTACATATTAAAAGTTAATTTACTATTTGTTATTACATAAGAAAACATTTCAGGTAAATGACCACAGTATTCTGACAGTACAATTTGGTAAAGAATTTCAAAAACATGTCTAAACTTCCAAGTAAAAAGAATAAGTAGTGATTTTATAGCATCTTACTATGCAGATGGACAGTGACTGTGAAGGGATATGTGGGGGGGACTTGGTGAAGGGGGGAGCCTAGTAAACAATGTTCTTCATATAATTGTAGATTAATGATACCAAAATAAAAAATTAAATTAAATTTTTAAAAAAAGAATATCTCCTTAGATTCTTATAATTTTATTTTACCAAAATGGGTCAAGAAAGTTCTCTAGATAAAATATGATAGGAAATCTCAGGTTAAAATTTAGTCAGCACATTCTATGGACAAAACTAAGCATTTGTGAAGAATATTGTTATATATGAGATCTTTTTTCAATTCTAAAAATTACATTTGTACAAAACTTTTCTACAAATAAATTTTGTTTCATTTTGTTTTGTTTTGCTTAAGAAATAAAGCTGTAAGTATGTAAAACATATGATCAGTGACTCTTGTTTTCTCCTGTCTTAGGAGGACTCCTCTTTGGTGGGTGGAGGAGGAGGCTGAATTGCCTGGAGAACTCCCAGAATGCTCCTTGGAACACTACACAATTCATAATGCAACCAGTTATTAAACTGAATTCTATTTGCTTGTAATCCCTTATTTTCTAGTTTCAGGGTTAAGCAAATTCATCTCATCCAGAGTCACAAAGAAAAAGTGATGTAAAGTATCCCTACAAGGCACTTCATGACAACAGGACTTGCTTATCTCTTGGGTTTTATTTCCTGCCACTTTCCCTTGGGGACGCTGCACATTTGCCGCACTGAACTTCTCTCAGCTCTTGAATTGCACCCTGCTCCCCCACCACAGACGACCACAGCTGTTCTTTCCCCTTCACCCCGCTGCCGCTGAATGTGATCACCGCCACCACAGGCAACCACACAGCAAACGTCAGAGTTCCTCTCAGAGAAACCTCCCTAGGACCGATGTGACCTAGTAAATTGGCTAGCTGCTCACTGAGGAGAGTTTTGCCTTAACTGCCAAGTAATGAATGAAAGTTACTTCATTCTTTCCTCTGTTCCCAAATATTTGCTAGACATTTGCATAATTTTTTACATTAGCTGTGCTTGACTCTGATAGGTTTTCCACTGCTGCCATTTTGATTGGAAAGAATTCCACTTCTGGAACTATACCAAAAGAAGTAAAAGCAGGGACTCAAACTAATAGTTGTCTATCCATGTCCATAGGAACATTATTCCCAATATCCAAAAAGTGGAAGCAATTTGAGTGCCTATCGATAAATGAATAAATAAGAAAAATATGGTACAGGTACCTATCCCATGCTTTTTGAAAGTATGTGTTATGCTACTTTGCCTTTATGAAAGATTTACGCTTTTGTCAATCAAAGGAAATTCTAAGAGGATTTCCACGTTAATGAAAAAAAACAAAAAGTAAAAGTAGCATTCAGCACTTTGCAAAGCCCTTATATGCAGCACACACCCTGAGCAGCAAGGGTGGCCCAACAAGCTCCTTCCCCTACACTCAGGATCTCAGCATCAACCACCAGAGCTTTGAATTGTATCTGTGCTTTATCTCAACTTATTTTTGCCTCTGTTAGAAAGATGTGTGCCAAGATATCAGGAAAATCTAAGAGAGGCAATTTTTGAAGTCTGAGAACATTCAAAAAAATTTTTATATAAATTAGTGGTAATTGCTTCTTTGCTTTATGCCATTTCAGCTTACAAAAGGTTTCATAGGAACATTCTTTTCTGGAAAGTGGGAGAAACCTGAATATACATGCAAAGGAATGTTATTCATCTTTTTTAAACAGGAAGGAAATTCTGACACATGCATGAACCTTAAAGACATTATACTAAGTGAAATAAACCAGTCACAAAAGGACAAATCAAAATCATAGACAGAAAGTAGAATGTTGCCAGGAGGATGGGGAGGGAAGAACAGGGAATTACTGTTTAATGGGTGCAGAGTTTCCACTTGGTAAGATAAAATAGTTCTGGGGATAGACAGTCGTGGGTGGATAATATGGGTGTAATAATGTTACCAAAATTGTACACTTAAATGTGATTAAAATAGTAAATTTTATGTTATATATATTTTACCACAGCAAAAAAATGGAGGAAAAAAGATTACTTAGAACTTGGTAGTTAATTCCTTCTAAGACTTACTTTAAAGGATAAAGAGAAGGGGGAAATCCTTACTAAAAGAAGCCAGTAAGACTTTCAGTGATGAAAACTGAAAATGCATTGAGTTGCAGGAAAGAAAGCTGAAGGTTTGAATCTTATCCTCCTATCTATTCACCCCACCCCCAATATAGTTGGTTTGCAATGGCAAGATAAAGCCTCTAACTGGAGTGATGCAAAAGGCCTATTAATGCTCACCTAGTGTCCACTCCAGTCCAATCCAAACTCCTTAGATGGGTGCACATACTCAAAGCATCATATATTTTGTTAAAGGCATGGTGAGTAGCCTTTTGTGGTCCTAATTCCTGACTCAGCAATGAATAAACACCCCCGTCTTGCATTCAGGGCTTTCCACAATCAAGACTCTCCTTGCCAGATGTATTCCCCAAAGAAATATGTTTAAATGTATTTTCTCATTCAGTTAGGAACAATTCCTCATTTGTTAGTGTAAAACAGGGTAAAGTTGGAAGGCTTAGAAGCAGCAGCTCATTTTGTCACTTTACTGGAAGACAATGCAAACAGCCTTCTATGGGTATCACTTTTGTAAGGACATGCATGCATTAGAAATACATATACCTTTGGTCGGAAGTAACTATTTATACTGTGATATATACCACAAAAGTGGTAACTCAACTATATGTCCAGTTTTATAATACTTACAGTACAGGAATCCCGAAATACTGATGATCCAGAGAAATTAGACAAAATGGAGTCATGAGCATAATGGGAGGCCCTTGTGGATATAATTCCTCTCCAGTCGTAGAATACAGTTTCTGCCAGAAAAATCAATGCAGGTTAAACCAATATTTATCCAGAAAAAATATACACTGATCATACTGCTTAATGTTGCAAAGACGCAAATATCATCTTGATGGCCTTACTATTCTGTATTAAAATCGCATCTTGTCCTCTCATCACAGAGAGATGAAAAAGTGATCGCATTGCATAGAGAGGCTTCAATTAATTGACTCCCACATACAGTAAAGCTCTTGTGTTTTTATTGCATACATTCTGCCCATCAGAAAACTAATAGGTTCATTTCTTTTGACTCTCTTTTTTTCAAGAATGTTGAGTTCTTTTTCAAAGGAGGCTTAAAGCAAAATCATATTTGTGAATAGCACTTACAGAAATAAAAGGAAAAATCCTCTCACTGTTACTTATGTACTTGAAAATAAAATTCAGAATTACTATGAAGGCCCAAGTTTTGAAATTGCAAAATAAATGAAACTATTAAAAATGCTTAAGGTAAATAGGTTGAAAGAACAAAATGATAGCCAGCATATGCCATTTCTTCTGTCTCATGATAACTGTTATGTGAGATTTCTGCAGAAAAAAATTTTTAATTATGAGATTTTTTTAAATATTTTTTATTAAAGTATCATTGATACACACTCTTACAAAGGTTTCACATGAAAACCTTTGTGGTTACTACAGTCACCCATATTATCAAGTCCCCCGTACACCCCATTGCAGTCACTGTTGATGAGAAGGAGATTTAAAGATTTATTTTTCCATGTATTTCTCAGAAATATTAATCACTTTAAAAAGGGAAAAGTTCAGTTCAATCTTGCCTTCCAAATTACTCAAACTTTTTTCACATTTCCAAATTTGTTCTAATATTTATTCACATATATATATTCTTTCCTTAAACTTAGTCATCCATGGACCAGTTTCGTGTAAATTTAGAGAAAATTCAGAAGTAATAAATTCTCTCATTTCATTTTTCCAATTTACTTACAGGATTAAAAGTCTCCTATAGTGAGACAGAGTAGGAAAACAAAAATGTGATGCTATCCAGAGACATCCTAAATTATTACAAGCATACACACATCCTATCCCACCTTAATTTTATAGGTTTTTCTTCCATTTCAGTCAAAAAGAGACTGCCCTCTATCAAAAAGGCAAAAATCTCAAGAAAGGCAGCATAATAGATCATATATTTCAATCACAATTCAATATGAATAAATAAAATTCATCATTGGAAGCAAATGCCAATAATGGGGAGATTACAGAGAACCTGAAAATACTAGAATCCGAGAAGAGAATAGCAAAGGGAAAACCAAACACATATATACTTTAGTTGGGGGCTTTTATAAACCCAAGGGGATGTAAAAGGATAGCATGAGAGTCATTAGAGGTATGTGAACCCCTACATTTCTTATGAAGTTTTTGATTAGTTTGAAATATTCCTCGACTCATTAGCACTATCATGGCCCACCCACTTCCCTTCATGAACTTCTACTGTAAGTGTTCCCTCATAGTTTAGATACCTGGGCTTCTCTTCCCAAGCTCCTTCTTCAAACTATAACCTCTTCCAGGACACAGACAGTATCTTATGTGGAAATGCTCTGTGCTTCTGGTTCATTAGCAATGTGATTAAGGTACCTGTGTGAATAGTGCTGAGCAAGAATGAGCCTCACGAGGTTAAATCTCACAGGCAACAGGGGGTCTCCCTGATCACTGAAGAGCCCAACCCAAAATGAAACTAAATGAAACAACTTATTTTTCCTAGAGAATCCTGAGCATTTCAAATATTTTATCCTGTTTATCCACAAAACAGACTAATGTAGAAGGCCATGCATTATTTTCTCTAGTATATAGGTAACACACTAGAAAATAAAGCTATAACTTTTCTACTTCAGGAAGCAGTAAAGCCTCTACTAAAATCCTTCAGGTAATCATTCACACACTGATATATGCTAATGACTCCTCCTCAGCAGCCAGGCACAGAAGGTGACATGCAACAAATTCTGGTTTATTCCACAAAGTCAGTCGAAAGTTATAAGCTGATAGTTTGAAGAAAGCCAAAGTCATACATCAGACAAAATCTTCACAAACCTTCATGGAGCCAACAATCTTTCAGATAAATGCCACAGAGAAGTGAAGATTCTGAATTCTCACGGTGTGTATGTGTGTGTGTGCGTGTGTGTATGTGTGTGAGGAAGAGAACAGCAGGCTGTATATTAACAGGTGAAAAAATAAGCAATCTTATCAATGATCCCAGCTTATCAGCCAGCAGGACAGAATAAAATATTCTGAGGTTAAACATTCTGGGGAAAATGCAATATCAAAATTTGGGAAGAAACCAAAATTGTCCCATCAGGTTAACAGGAAATTGTTAGCTAAATAGCAGCTAACTGTGAACATTAAAAAAATTGTTAACTCCCCGTACTGATGCCATCCTGCCTTTGCATTTCCTCAATACTTCAAAGTTAGACTCTTTTTGAAAAATATTATTTTACCACTAGTTTATGTTATTTTATCTTCTGCATATCTTATTTCCCTATCTAGACTTGAAAGTCTTTAACTTGTTTTGTGGTCCTCAAAAAGCTGAATAAAATGCTGTGCCTCAAGCAGAGGTTCAGTGCATGCTCCTGGACTGATGTGACACTGATTGAAAAGGTCAAACAGCGAAACTGTTAAGAGTGAAAGGCCCCATATGATGCAACTGATATAAATATCTGAAGGAATGGAAAAGCCCTAAAATTGAGTTTTTTAAATCCTAATTTTTTCAGGCCTAATTTTTTTTCTAGACCATCTTCCTTCACTCTCTAGCATCATCTTGATGTTTATGATGGTAATAGTTTTTAAATAAATTTCAGTTGGGGGTGGCTTTTTATTTCCCATTTTTATTCAAATCTATATAGTTAGTAATAAGCCAATCATTTATGGCAGTGAGAGATAGTTCTAAAATCTAATAAGCATGATTATTTTAGAAACTTACTCGGATCACAGAGAACTAACGAGATTGTATACTGTGGTAATACTGTCAAGAGAATGAGGTAAGAAAAAAGGGAGAGAGGAAGAAGGAAAAATTCCTAGCTAGCTAAACCATTCTCATATTTTAGTGGGGCTGCTACAGGGGCAGCCTCCTCCTGTAATCTTTGCAGGGACAAACATTTCCTCCATCCTGCAAAGGGACACATTTGTCCAAGTCAGTTAATATCAGCAAAACATGCAAAGACAACAGAAATTAAACTTTTAAATACGATGTTTTAGTCAACCAAGAAACCAGACATTCATAAAAAACAGTCTATGCAACTCCCTCCAACAGAATTAAAAAAGTCCAAATGAAAGTGTGATGTGTCCTTATGGGGACAGGATAGGGCCCAAGACACCACAGTCTGCAGTGGTCCTGGGTCCCTAGAGTCTCTTTATGCCAAGCTTGTTCTGTTTCCCTTTTACCAATTCCCTTGCATCAATTAATTCTTAGAGTTAATTGCACATGCAGTTTTAATCTGTGGGTAATTACAAACAATTAATAGTTAGGAGACAGAATTAGGAGTTCTTAGTTTGATTATCTATATAATTAAAAGGGGTGGTAAACTAGAGTTGACAAATAGCATCTTAATCACTTGAATAATCGAACCCTAGAAGCTTGCTTGGACAGCTGAATTCCATGTGTTATATTAGTTCAAATTTCAGAATCAATGACTGAAATGTCCATTTAAATAAATTCATATTGCTAATTTATAGGAAAAAATAAGCAATATATATTCTAAAACTACTTAAACTATTTTCTTTCCTTCATTTGCTCATGAGCTATTTCCAAAAGGATTCAATAAAAATAAAGATGCAACAGACTAATTTATTTATAGCTACTAAATATCAGTTCATATTCATGGCTCCCAAATATTATGCTACAAAACATCTAAGAAATATGGAAAACTCCTTTTGTACTAGGTTCTATTTAACAATTTATTTAAGTGAGTGCTGAGAGACAGCAAATACGACATACCCTTAATCCTTTTTTTGGCTATCTGATGGGACCAGTTGTTTGTAGAAGAAGAAGGCTAAGCTAAAGTTGAGTTAGAAAAATATATGAGAACTTCATTCTGATTATAGGATATAATATAACACAGCATCACCATTGCATAGGATCTTTTGGAATTACCAAGTATTTGAACAAGTTACTTCCAAGCCAATAACAAATAAAAAAATGTTCAAAAAGAGTCATGATTTCTGATTCAGTATGGCTTACCTTCAGTTATGAGGCAGCCCCTTCTACAGTGCCACTAAAATACTGTAATGATAAAAGAAAAGATGAAAATCTCCAGGTCACAAAAAATTAAGTCTAACCATTCACTAATTTGCAAATGATAAAAAATTTTAATTAGGATGGGGGAAGTAAACTGAGGAATATGCTCAGAGACCTTTATATAATAGGACTCTTAGCCCAACTGTAAGATATTAGAGACTTGATACTTGCCCCCGCTCCAAAAAAAAGAATACAGAAAAAGGAACAAAAACCATTTCTTTACAATATAGGTGCTGCTCTTAAACCATTTTCCTCTCCATACTCCCATCTATCACAATCCATTTGGACGTTACGAGTGCAAGAAAACAATTAGGCAAGGAAGTAATCCGGACTGCAGCACCAGGATTTGATAGCGTCCCATTGTGAGGAAAGAGCTCTGGGCAGAGGGTGGGACTGGCAGTTCTTAATAACAATGCACAACGGGGGTTGTAATTTTCATGTGCTTAATAGCTAAAAACAATAAAAATGAAGGAAAGGAACAGGAGAGGCCCAAACTCAGCAGACACAAACACTTCCAGATGGATGTTTACAGGTTACTGAAACTAGGCAGAGAAGTGGGCTTTGACATTGGTTCATCAACTACAGAACTAGAAAAGGTAATCCAGGCACCCAAGTGAACACGAGCAGAGTTGAGAAAAATCCATGCTCTCAATTTCTAATCCCTCAGTGTGCATAGATATATTTCTCCTTATTCAAAGTGAAGTAAACACACTGCGGCCCACATTAGTCATGGCA